TGAGCAGACTGGGGGTTCTCATATTGATTACTCCAGATTTTCCTACCTGTAACACCAAACCAAACTCAATTTCTGATTTACTTCTCAATTTTCGACATGACAAATGAATAAACCAACCTAGAAAACCAAAAGAACGTTAAAACCAACCTTTTTTTACGAAACCTAGAAATCCCTTTGAGCTAAACCCGTGCGATGAGAAAAAGGATGAAGCGTAGCTGGAACGGCCACACTCGAACGCAACATCTGAGAGGAAAACCGATGAGATAAAGACCAAAAGGGCGGCTGGATTCGCAGCGCGCCTCCCCAAACGAAAATCGACGGCCCCCCACGCATGCAGAACAGTGAACTCTGATCTTCCATGGCTGCCCTCAACCAGCCCAACCAGCTGGTTCGAAATGGACTGGAAATCTCTGAGCGAACGAAACATTCGCAAGGGAAGAGATGCGAATGGGAAGGGGCAAAAAGGGAAGAGGAGAAAAGGTTTAGTTGAGGGCATTTTCGGAAATTCACTGTGCTGAAGAGAAAACAAAACATGTAACAACAGTAAAATGAGGGGCATTCTAGTAATTACACTGTGCTTAAGAACAGTGTTTAGTTGGATTGCCGTTTAGTATATATATAATTTTGATAAGCCACTATGAAAAAGAAAATGGAGTCAAGTCATTGTGGACAATTACATCCGCACAAAGGCTACAAGTTTTGCAGAGGTGGGTTAAAACCGTCATCCGAGTTTGATCTCCTCTTTGTAAATTAGAGGACACTATGGCATTAAAGCAATGAGTAAAATGCCGAATTACCTCCCGAATTATCACCTAATTTTCAATTTTCCATGAATTTTTTTTAATCAATGAAGGATACGATCTAATTTTTTTTCGCTAATTTCCCTCCTCTACCGGTAAAATTTCCAAATATTTCATCCACTTATTGAGGGCAAAACTGTCTACAATTAGGTGAGAGTTCAGCCTAACTAAAAAGAACGTCAGAGCTTGCCTGTGAAGACCCGTGTGAAGGATAATTGTCAGAATACTGGTGTGGCAATTAGAAATACCCCTGGAAATCGCCAGGCTGCTAGTGTGGCAAGTAAAAGTACCATTGGCACTTCTGATTCTATAGGAAGGGTGGGATTTCAAGGCAAGACGAGTGTTGTTACTGGTTCTCTACCTGAGCAATTTGCGAGTTGGGACAGTGGACACCCAATTCAAAAGGAAAAAGGGTTGTATATCTTTGGGCATCAGCCACCCAATATAGGGGAGATCACTACTTGTAGGGATGACAACTCTGGTTCTGACAGTGATGATGAAGTGCTAATCCCTTCTGACAGTGAGGGTTTGGCTCCCACAGAGAAGATGGACTTTTCGGAAGGACATATTAGTTCACATGGTGGACAATTGGCAAGTAATGCCTTCACTTCTGGTGAAGGTATGGCTTTTGAGTCTTAATAAAAGGGTTTTAGCCCTTAAGGTTACTTTATTCTTTAATTGGTATTTTTATGGATATTTGTTGCTGGAATGTTAGAGGAGCAGCAAGCTCCAAATTTAAGTCTAATGTGCTTGATTTGATTCGCACTCATCGGTTGGATATGCTTTTTATCTGTGAGCCTCGTATAAGTGGAGCAAAAGCTATTTCTGTAGTTAAGTCTCTTGGCTTTCCTTGCTTTGAAGTTGTTGACGCTGTGGGTTTCTCTGGTGGTTTGTGGCTTTTATGGGATGATTCCAGAGTTCATGTAGAAGTTGTTGGTACTTCTGATCAAACAATTTCTGCTTGTGTGGCTCGCAATGGTCAAGACCCTTGGCTTTTTACTGGTGTTTATGCTAGTCCTAATGCTGTCAAGCGAGTGAAATTGTGGGATTATCTCTCCTTTGTTGCTGCAAGTCATAATATGCCTTGGTTGATAGCCGGGGATTTTAATGAGTTGCTTGATGTTGATGAGAAGTTTGGTGGAGCTCTTGAGTGCAAATCTAAAGGTTTTAGAAACTGGGTTGATGGCAATGAGATGATTGATTTGGGTTATTCTGGACCTAAATTTACATGGAATAATAAGAGAGTCTATGCAAGGTTAGATCGAGCTATTTGTAATATGCAATGGAGAAGGTTATTTCCTGAGGCTAATGTTCAGCATTTGCCTAGGACTACTTCTGATCACAATCCAATCAAGATTACGTTACACTCTCGTTTTATTGTTTCTCCGCACTTAAGGCCTTTTAGGTTTGAAGCAATGTGGATGCAACATGAGAAATTCAATGAGTTTATTTCTGATGTTTGGGGACAAGCTGTTGGCTCGGCCTTGGATAAAACTTATCAGTTGGTTCAGCCTCTAAAAGATTGGAATGTTAATGTTTTTGGACATATTAAGAAACGGAAGGCCTATTTGTTGGCTCGTCTTAATGGTATTCAAAAAGCTTTGTGCAGGGGTTCAAATAATTTTTTGAGCAACTTGGAAATTTTTTTGATTGAGGAGTATAATGGTGTGTTGGAGCAAGAGGCTATGTTCTGGAAACAAAAATCCAGATTACAGTGGCTTCAGGAAGGTGATCGAAACACCAAATTCTTTCATCTTACTACTATTATTAGGCGGCGCAGGAATAAAATAGAGAGATTAAAGAATAATGAGGGTGCCTGGGTTGAGGAAGCTCAAGGCATTAAAGGTTTGGCTATGGCGTATTTTGAGCAGTTGTTTTCTCAAGAGATTGTAGAGCAGAGTGACCTGACTTTACCTAAGTTGTTCCCTGGTATTGATCCTGCAGATTTGGAGTTGCTTGAGAAAGAAGTTGACATGGCTGAGATTAAACGAAGTTTGTTTGGGATTGGAGGTTTGAAAGCTCCTGGTGTAGATGGGTTTCCAGCTTGTTTCTATCAAGCTCAATGGAATAAATGTGCTGATGATATTTTTGCAATGGTGTCTCAAGCTTTTAAGAAGTGCAACATCCCTGACAAGCTGAATTACACTTTAATAACTTTGGTGCCTAAAGTGCAAAGTCCCCAGTCTATGGCCCAGTTTAGGCCTATAAGCTTATGCTCTACTCTGTACAAGGTTATTTCTAAAATCCTTGTGGCTCGTTTAAGGCCCATCCTTCCTGATCTTATCAGTCCCAACCAAGTTAGTTTTGTCCCTGGACGACATATTACAGATAATATCCTTATTGCTCAGGAGTTAATGCATAAATTTAAGTTGTCTAAAGGGAAAAAGGGTTTTGTTGCTTGGAAAATAGACCTCTCTAAGGCCTATGACAGGTTGAATTGGCGTTTTGTTGAGTATGTCCTTCTTGAATTGAGGCTGCCTGCTCCTTTTGTTAAGTTGATAATGAATTGTGTTCAGTCTGTGAGATATCAGATTAATGTGAATGGGGAACTGACTACTCCTTTTAGTCCAACGAATGGTATTAGACAGGGAGATCCGCTATCTCCCTATCTCTTTGTTCTCTGTATTGAAAAATTCTCTCATGTTATCTGTGATGCTGTTAGTAAAAAGAAGTGGCGGCCTGTGAAATCTTCTCAGTCTGGCCCTGCGATCTCCCATCTTTTTTTTGCTGATGATCTTGTGTTGTTTGCGGAGGCTAGTGCTAATCAAGCTAAAATTATGAAGAGTTGTCTGGATTTGTTTTGCTCTGCGTCTGGACAAGTAGTCAATTTTGATAAGTCTGCTGTCTTCTGCTCTCCTAACACTTGTAATAAGGTTGCTAAGGAGATAAGTTTGATTTGTGGCTCTCCTCTTACTAATAACCTTGGCAAGTATCTGGGAATGCCTCTTCTGCATTCTAGAGTCGGAAAGCACACTTATAGTTCTTTAGTTGATAAGGTGCACAATCGCTTGGCTTCTTGGAAGAGTAAGCTTCTTTCTTTAGCTGGCATAGCTACTTTAATTCAAGCAGTTACAACTTCTATCCCTGTTTATGTCATGCAAACTACTAAACTGCCTATTAGTGTTTGTAATGATTTGGATCGGCTTAATCGTAATTTCTTCTGGGGCAGCAGTGAGAAGAAATATAAGATCCATCTTTGTCAATGGGATTTGGCTTGTAGGCCTAAAGGTAAAGGAGGTTTGGGGTTTAAAAAGACTGCTAGTATGAACCAGGCTCTTCTTGCTAAGATTGGGTGGAGATTGCATTCTAAAGACAATGGGTTATGGGCAAAAATTTATGAGGCTAAGTATCTTAAAGGGACTTCTATTTTAGATAATTCTCTTGGAGCAAGGCAGGTTTGCTCCACTACCTGGAGGAGTATTATACATGGTACTCAGTTACTTATGCAAGGAATGTGTTGGAGAATAGGTCGGGGAGATGTTGTAAAATTCTGGGAGGATAATTGGGTTACTGATGTCCCTTTAATGCAGCAGGCTGGAGTTCTCACCATTCATGATAGCAAATGTTCTGTTTCAAGTTTTTCTAAAAATGGTTGGTGGGATATTGATAAGTTGCGAGTTGTTCTTTGTGAAGACCTTGTTCAACAGGTCATTAGTGTCCCTATGGGGTTTTTGGGCTCCTTACCTGATACTCAGATTTGGAAGGTTAGTGCTAATGGCAACTTTTCTGTTAAATCTGCTTATAGATTGTTCTTTCAAGGTTGTGCTTTTCCTGACTCTTGTTGGAAATCCTTGTGGAGTTTAAATGTTCCTCCTAAGTTACAATACTTTATGTGGCTGGCTTCTCAAGGCAAAATTTTATCTAATGATCAGCGGGTTCGAAGGCAGTTAGCTTCTGACCCTTCATGTGGCTTTTGTTCTTGGCCTACTGAAACTGTTCTTCACATTCTTCGTGATTGTGAGCGAGCTCGTTCTACGTGGAATGCTATCCTCCCTGCCTATGCTCATAATTTTTTCCTTTTAGATGCTCAGCCTTGGATGAAGGTCAATGTGCTTTCCAGGGAGAAATGGAATGGTGATGTTCCTTGGAGTACTGTTTTTGTGTTTACTTGCTGGCATTTATGGTGTTGGAGAAATAAGCATATTTTCCAGAATGAGGATACAGTCCTCTCTAGTCCTAGACAAGTTATTTGTGGGGCAGCCCAAGAGTGGATTAAGTCAGCTTCTAATCGCACTAAAGGGGTAAATAAGGTTCAAATTCATGTTGCCTGGGAGCCTCCTAGGCTTGGACAAAGCATGCTAACCTGGGCTAAAGCCCAGGCAACTTTGTTTTTTTGAAATGGATACTTACAAACCAATCATACTTCTTCTTGGAGACCATGTAGCCACACACAGAGAGAGAGAGAGAGAGTGAGAGAGTGTGATAGATGAGGTTTAGTGCTACTTAAAATATGTTTTGTAAACGCTTCGAAATGAAAGGTTTAGTGCTGCTTATAGTACAAAGAAACATCGTAAAGAATTCCTACAAATTTTTGAGAATTCTTTTAATTTGTATATGTATTACAAAAATATGCAATGTAGTAATATTTATTCTATTACCCAGAATGATGCACCAGGGATGCTCTAGTGCATTTGTTGTGACACTTTTATGAAACTTGTTTTGGTGGCGTGATACTCGTAGAACGGATATAAATGATTCATGTCCTCTAATTGATGATCAAATTTCCCAAACTCAAATTTAGACTTTCGGACTTCATATTAGAAGATAATATAGCAAGTAGTTTGTAAAAAATTTAGGGTATCTTTTTTATTTTTATGAAATTTTGGTTAATTTTTAAAGATAATAACATACAAAATGATACTCTGATGACACATGGTTATATGATAATGACACTTGTATGAAGTGCTTTTGGATCTCACCCAAAGCGCTTTTGCAATTTTTGCCAAACACCATTTTTAAAAGACAGAAGTGCTTTTGCCCATTTAGAAGCGCTTTTCGCTGCTTCAAAAGCACTCCCAAACGAGCCCTTATAATTCTCTTCCATTTATTACTATTTATTTAATGTTTTAACTTTAAAAAATCATAACAAATTCATCAAAAAACAAACAAATATGCCAAAAAATCTTACGACATTTTCTATATGTTTTGGGATTTAAAATTTAATTTGCACTTTAAAAAATTCAAATAATTTATCAAAGTCAAGTTTCCTTATATTCTAAGATTGAGCTCATTGCTCTTCCTCCAATTCTTATTTCAAATTTCCCAAAATCGCATGGGGTTTGTATCAAAATGATACTCTAATGACACGTAGCTAAGCGATAATGACACATGTATGAAGTATTGATGATGCACCACTCCTTATGACATTTTCAACATGTTTTGAGATTTTTTTTTAAAAATTACATATAAAAATTCAAATAATTTATCAAAGTCAAATTTCCTTATATACTAAGATTGAGTTCATTACTCTTCCTCCAATTCTTATGTCAAATTTCCCAGACTCAAATTTGGATTTTCAGACTTCATAGTCGAATATAATATTGCACGGAGTTTGTATGATACTCTGAGGACACGTGGCTACGAGATAATGACACCTGTATGAAGCACTAACGATACACCATTCAGGTTCTGCCACTTGATATTATCTTCCATTTATTACAAATTCATCAAAACATAAACAGCTTTTTTCCCCATAAAAAACACAACATTAATTATTCATATTTGCTCCTCTCTCTTCCGGATTCATCTCTCCATCTTATTTTCTACGCTATCTCTCTCTCTCCCTCCAATCTTCTCTTCTCTAATTCCATAGCTTGACTGTCTATGGACCCACATCATACAGAACGAAACAACTAGAGGAGATGAGACTTTTATCCAGCAGAATTTCAATGAAATTCAGGAGACTTCATGGGTAAGGAAAATATTCTGGTTAGATGGGCCCATAGGTGGATGCCCCACTGACTCTGTGCACACGAAACTTCTTCCATCAACAGAAGAAAAAAAAGGTGATTTTCTGCAACAACAAAATAACCCAGAAAATCTTCTTTTTTCTTACTCCCACGACAGTCAAAGGAACACCCAAAAAAGGAGTGAACCCGCAAGATGAAAAAAGACACAACTCCATACAAAAAATAAAGTCTACAAAATCTAAGGGCAAATCAAAAAATCAAGAGAATCAATCTTCATAACATTCAACCAAACGAAAAATTCTGAAAGACAATAATATTGAATAAAAAGGGAATGGGATGGGGAGGGAAGGTTTGGGATGGCGATGGGGATGAGGTTGGGAGCTATGGTGTTGGCTGAATTTTTAGTTTACTGGTGTTCATAACTGGAACTTGGGATGTCGAAGAGATAAGGGGAGGAACAGAGAAAGAAAGTGGGAGAGAGAAGGAAGAGGGATGGGTAATGTGGCGGGATGACTGTGCTGGGAAGGAGGCTTAGGTGGTGGCAGCTTGGGTGTCGGGGCTGGGCTTGGCGTAAGTGGGTAGGGATTAGGGAAGAGAGAGAGAGAGTGGCGGTGAGTGTGATGTTTGGATGCCTTGAGATGTGGCTGGGCATGATGGTGAGAAGGTGGTGATCGGGGAGGGTGGCGTGTTGGGTGGAGTCTGGGTAAGAGAGATTGAGAGAAATATGGAGAAGAGAGGCGGAAGAAAGAGAGGAAGATGAAATCCAGACCAAAAAAGAAGAAGAGAGGAATATGATCCGGATTCATGGGTTTTTTTAATACCCGTTTCTACGTGAAACCTAATTGGACCCAACTTATAATCTTAACCGTCAAAGCTTATCCAACGGTGTAGATAGAAGTTCGCACCAATTGTTCGCAAAAAGAAGTTCTCGCTAGAGCCTAGCCGTGCTAGGTCTAAAGGCATGTCAATTTAACCAAGCCCAAAATAAAGCGGGGCCTTACCAAAACCTCTCCCAAAATACCCAACAACCGCGGGGCGTCTATACGGCG